TGATGGAGATTGCATTAAATCTGTATAATGCTTTAGGTAATACGGTCATTTTAACTATGTTGATTCTTCCAATCCAAGAACACGGAATATCTTTCCATTTCTTTGTATCTTCTTCAATTTCTTTTAATAGGGTCTTGTAGTTTTCATTATATAGGTCTTTCACATATTTTGTTAAATTTATTCCTAGGTATTTTATTCTTTTTATTGCATTTGCAAAAGGAATTATTTTTTCCACTTCTTTTTCTGACACTTCATTAGTATAGGAAAGCTATGAATATTTGATGTTGATTTTACATCCAGAGACTTTATTGTATTTGCTTATTATTTGTAGTGTTCTTGTGGAGTCTTTAGGGTTTTCTATACAGAGAATCATGTCATTCACAAATAGTGACAGTGTGACTTCTTCATTTCCTATTTGGATGCCTTTATATCTTTCTCTTGTCTGACTGCACTCGCTAGGACCTCCAATGTTATATTGAATAAGAGTGGCGATAGTGGACAGCCTTGCCTTGTTCTTGATCTTAGAGGAAAGGTTTTTAGTTTTTCACCATTAAGTATAAATGTTGGCTGAGGGTTTGTCATATATGGCCTTTATTATGTTAAGGAAAAGGGATGAATTTTATGGTATGTGAATTATATCTCAATTAAAAAGAAATTAAAGTCAATAATTAACTGAAAATGTGCAAGGTGTAAAACACAGTACAGTTTCTTCAATATTTAATACACTCTTGCAAATCACTAGGAAAAAAATACACGATTTGATAAGAGAAAAGAACACAGCAGTTCATAGGTCAAGAAAAATAATGAATTAACATATTAAAAGCGTTCAAACCCAGTCATAAATAAAGTAATGACAAGTAAAACAATGTGATATCAATTTTTAACTATCGGATTGGCAAAATTTTTTAATTTGAAAATACCCAGAATTGGGGGTTAGTATGAGGAAATAGGCACCTTCAAACTACTGGTAGTAGGTTCAATTGGTGCAGTTATTTGGGGGAGGGTAATTTGGCAGTATCTACACAAACTGAAAAAGCAGACATTCTTTAACAAAGCAATTACACTGCTAGGACTTTTTCTTACAGATATCTTGGTATTCCCATGAAATATATATACACACACACATACAGAAAAGTGTTCCTTGAAATGTTGTTTATAGTAGAAAAAACTAAAAATCAAAATTTCAGTCAATATGAGACTGATGGTACATATATAGAATACTAGGCAGTCATTAATAAAGAATGAGGAGATCTCTATAAGCTGCTAGAGAAATATGTCCAAGATTTATTCTTAAATAAAAAAACAAGTTGCAGAACATGTACAACTGAATCCATTGTATATGGGCCTGGGCATGTTTAAGGTTGAATATATGCTTTTGCGTGCATTAACATTTTCTGGAAGGACACATAAACTTTTCTCTTTGTACTCTCGTCTATTTTTACTTTATACTGTGATCTATTTTAAATTTACCGCAAGTATATAATGTTATACTTTAAAAATTAAAATAGAAAACAATAACAACAAAAAAACAGTTAACAGACAGCTGCTTGTAGTTTAGCATAGATAACCGGGTACAAACAGGCTTTGGGAAATTATTGCTGCTAGCAAGTCTCAAGTCCTGAGAAGAAGACTCCCACTTCCTCCTTGACCTTCAAAAGTATATAATAAATATGCTGATCTTGCCTTGGGGTCACTGTATCTGAGCAGAGTGCAGTGTCCCACCTGGCCCCAGTTTTTGTATATACTACCGTCTGTTTTTCTCCATCTGTCCATTGCCCCCTCTCAGGTATATTAACCCTCTAGCCATGCAGGTTGCAGCATACAAGTGTTTTGACATCTTCCCCCGCCCTCCCCGTATTTAGTCTCTTTAAAATGACAGAAAAATACCAACCAATGATGTTCATAGCAGCATTATTCACAGTGGCCGGTCATGGAACCAACCGAAGTGTCCTACGATAGATGATTGGCTAAAGAAGCTGTGGTACATATACACAATGGAATATTACTCAGCCATAAGAAGAGATGAAATACTGCCATTTGCAACATGGATGGACCTTGACATAATCATACTAAGCGAAATAAGCCAGACAGAAAAGTTGAAAATCACATGATATCACTTATGTGTGGGATATAAACCTAAAAGCAACAAATGAGCAGGACAAACAGAGACTCATGGACATGGACTATAGACTAGTGGTTACCAGAGGGTAGGGAGTGGGGGATGAGGGGGGAGCTAGATGAGGTAAAGGGGGTCAAATGTAGGGGAGGAGGGGGAGGGTAAAATGGGTAAAGGAGATCAAATATATGGTAGCTGAAAGAAACTGGACTTTGGGTGGTAACACACAATAGAATATATAGATGTCAAATGATAACGTACACCTAAAAATTATATAATTGTATTAACCAATGTTAGCCCAATACACTTAAAAAAAAAAAAAAAAAAAAAGAAAAAGAAAATGCTACTAACAACATGTGGCTTACTCTCCTGCTTCGCTCTCTATGCTCTGGGCTCTCCTCTGTGCCAGGACACTACTTGCCCTTCTTCAATGCTACGCCTCTCTCTTTTGCTGAATTCAAGCATGTAGCTTTGAGATGGTACAAACTCCCCAGATGGAGTCTTTGATTCTCTTGGCAAGGTCCTGGAGAAAGGTTTTGACACTGTCAACCATCTTCTCACCACCCAAACTACCAACTACACAGAGGAGAGAGAATAATCTCAAATCTTTCACCATGAAGGATCCGGCTGCTCAGCTCTGGACCAACCTGGCCCCTCGCCTACCGCGGGCCTCTCAGCTCCTCCTCACCCAGCTGCCAGCTGCTACTTGGGTGCTCCCAAGACCAAGGCTGCTGCACCCACACTGGGCATGCCTAGACAATGCAGCCAGTGAGACTTGGTGGGCACTCAGCCCAGCCACCATGGGTGGAGGGGGCCTGGATGGCAGTTCTAATATGAGTAGACTGCACTCTGTTAGGAAGACCGTCACTCTGATTGAAGAAGTTAAAAACAAATTAGTCTGATGTCTGAACTTAACTGTTTGCTACTATGTTTAGATTTTTACCAACTCATGGGTGGTGGCCAATGACCTAGCCACATGGTCAGGCAGGAGGGCAATGGAAAACTAGCCTATTAAAGGGGCGCCTGTATGAGGAATGGGCCTATGAAAATCACTACGGGAATCAGAGGAGTGCATTAAAATAGGATATATCTATGACCTATCTATGCCCATCAGGAGAAACCCTTTCAGAACTGGAAGGTGACTGGTATCAATGAGTACATATCCCAGCCATATGCTGGTGAGACCACTCCTGTTTTCAGAACCTGATTAAGTCAAATGGAAGCCTACAAACTTCAGTGGCATTGCTTGGGGAGATATTTTGGTGATGTGATATGCCAGTATCTATGACTCTTATTTTTCAGTTTATATGTACTGCCATTCTGTGATATGGTGTAACACTGGCATTGTTGGTAAGGTTATAATACTGATATTGATGGTCAAATGTATTGGTAAATTGAATTAAAGCCTCCTTAGGATGAATACTAATAAAAAATGACTAGCCTGAGAGAAGAACTGGATCTGATCATCACCAAATTAGTTCTGCTCAATTTTATCATAAAGTACAGGTAGCAGCAGATCAGGATGGGGCGGGGTGGCAAAGAGTAACCAAATTGATACAAAAAGATGAAAATGTGTGTAATGGTTTTATAGAACAAATTAGTTATTTCTTCAAATCTATCTCTAATTTATATTGATTCCTCAAATACTAGGCATATTCATAATCACATTGCTATCTGTATTTGTCACACAAATGCTATACTAAAAATAGATGCCCAAATAAACATAATTGTTTTTGTTTAAAAGAGTTTTAGCCAAAGGTCAGGGAATGGCCTACCTAGTAATGTAAAGAATTTGGCTTTGGCTTTTGCCTCCACGAGGAAGTAACCTATGTCATACCTGATGAGAATGACTTTTTGTAGGGTGGGGGCTAGTGACAACAGATCTTATGGCAGGGCTGGCCACATCTAACATTCTTGGGTGGGAACTGACTACACCAGAAAGAACCATCATGTGATTTAGGGTGGGGCTTTGGGTCACACGGTATCAATTAACCTGGAGACTGAGATCAACCTTGTGAGCAATCAATCTAATCAATCATACTTTTATATATAATGGAGCCCAATAAAAACTGTGGACTCTGAAGCTCGCCTGAGCCTAACTCTATGCATATGGTCATACATTGATGCTGGGAGGATAATGCATCCTGACATGATGAGCAAGGACAACAGAAACTTTGCGTTTGGAACCCTCTAGACTCTATGCATCTCTCCCTTTGGCTGATTTTAATCTGTATCCTTTCCTTGTAATAAACCATAACTCTGAATATAATAGCTTTCATTCACTGAGTTCTGTGAGTCCTATCAAGTTATCAAACCTAAGAGTGGTTATGGGAATCCCCCGAACTTACAATTGGTGCTAGAAGTGAGGGCAGTCTTGGGGACTGTGCATTCAAACTATGCAATTTGTCTCATTTCATGTAGGTATATATTCTCATTAACCCATTCAAGAAAGCAAGACGTAGACAGTAGATACACTGCCCAAGAGGATGGCTTCTAAATTGTAGTGCTAGAACATGAATCTGGTTTTTACATTGCTTTATATAAGATGACCATAACATAGTACCATGCATTAGATGGATGGGTATTTTATTATAATGTATTTCACTAGTATGACATAATTAACTTTTTGCCTCTTCTCACACCAAACTTAAACCAAAGTAATTATAGTTAACTGTTAAGTATAAATTAACAATTATTACTGTCCACAGTTTTTACCATTACCGGTTTTGTGCAGTAAATGTTTCCCTCTGAGGATGAAGGTCACTATAAACAACTCTGATGAGATCATGCTGACACAATGCCCCTTCTGTCAAAGCCATTGATCCAATCGTTGATGGCTACAAAAATAAGGTAAAGTATGAGACTGTGTTTCTAAAATTAAGGAAAAATCTACAAAAGAGTGGTTTCAGACCATTTTTCTCTTTCAAAACCTTTTCCATTTTTCAATTATATACATTCTATAGCTCTTTTTGAAAATTATATGATACATAAAATAAAAAGTATACTGCTTTATTTTTTTGGAAAGATTATGAAATAAATCTACACTTAGGACACAGATAAGAAAATTTGCTGAAAAGACTACAGGTTACAAATACATCAGTTTTATTTGTATTCTAGAACACAGAGCAGTCTTGGGGACTGCATTCAAATTAGGAAGTTTGTCTAACTTCAGGTAGGTAAGTATTCTCATTAATCCCATTCTACTACAAAGCAAGCAAGGTGTAGAGTTATAATTATATAACACAAACAATATTGAAGACTATGATCACTGTCTCTTTAATGGTGACTGATTTCATGTTTCAAAAGTTAGAAGATCCATCCACTCATAAATGTTTCACTATCCACCATTTTATTTCATAACATGACACACAGGACTTAATTAAAATCTATTACTCAGAAATATTCTATGCTAAAATGAGTCCTTGCTAAATAGGAGGCATTCTATTTCCAATACAGAACAAAATCCCAAGGGAATTAAGAAAAGAAATAGCTGCATAGAGCTATGAGACAACAGGCTACTGACTGTTAATAAGAAAACAAAATATAATTTTTAGATTACTGGTGAAGTTTCTTTAAATGCTTTCTTCACAACTTTATACACTAAAGACTACAAGAGACTAGAAGCTTGATTTGTAATATATATCCTTAAAAAGAGCAGGCAGAAGGAATTCAGCTCAACAGAGTCATCTAACTATACGATCATTAGTATTCTCACATTCTTCAATCAAGTAAATATAAGGAAAAATCTAAAGTATGTTATTGAATAGGTAGAATTCATCAACTAGACTCCTTTAAAGGGAAATTACAGTATTAATATTCTTCTAAGTAGCCATTTTCCTAAAAAATAATAAAAACCAATCAATCTAACATAAATGATTTCTAATTAATATGGAAACTTTTAAAAATTAAAGAAAATTCATACAAGACTAATAAAAAAGACTGAAAATAATACTGGTGAAGAATACAAAAGAATTAAACAAAAATTAAAGGAAAATTTTCCATTAATTACTTTCTGCCTCCCTTGACAGTAGCTCAACTTTATATCACTACTAACAAACATCTACTTTTAAAAAGCATATCAGTAAAGGTGTGTTAGAAATAGCTATCTTCGGTAATAAACTGACTTTTATCTCTTATTCAACATAATTTTAAATAATTCCACCTTTCAATCTTACTTACCTCATGGTATATTGAAGGCTTAGATAAGGAAGGGATAGTAAAAGATAGAACCTTATTGTTTCCATCTTTATCAGCAATTTCCTATAGTAAAAAAAATATACAAAGATAATAAAATAATCACAGGACTATAAGAAAGAATAATTACTTTCTTAATTTATTGAACATATTATTGGTAAGAAAGATTATTAGAAATAGTATATTAAAATATTACTACACTATTATCTCTTTATAGAAACAGTAATATCTAAAAAACACTACTTTGAGAGATTTGAGTGCAATATTATATAAAAAATACAACATGACAGCAAAGACATGAAGCAGTAATACAAGTCAATTTTCATGTTAAATTTACATATAGTACAGGGAAATTACAAGTGATAAGATCCTTAAGTAGAAACATGGCTGAGTTAAACATTAAAATTAAAGATCTTAGCCAAGAGAGCTACACTTATGAAAATAAGAAAAAAACACTGTTCTAACACAGAATGAATTTTGACTAAAAGAAACTCTTACAATTTTCAGCAATAAACTAATGACTTGAAATAAACTATATATTAAGATAACATTAGTCCAAGTGATTAAAAATAAGTTCATATTTAGGTAATTTTTACTGAACTGCAAGAAAATTCTTGTGAATTTTAAAATTTAAAAGCACTTTATCTTTTAATGAAAAGGACAACAGTGACCTTTATGTCTACAGTTTCTGGCACCTCCAATCTGCTACAGGCATCAACAAAATCTACACCAGCATTTTTGCATTGCTCCTTTTCTCTTGCATCGTTCCTTTTCTCTACTGCCTTATTTTAGTCTTTGTCTAAACAACTCATATCAGTACACATAATAGGTATAAAATCCAAAGAGAAGCTTGCCCTTAGCAGACCTAGCAGGAAGGTGGTCAGAGATAGACCAAGTAGTTACATAGCATAAAAGGAAAAAACAACAATAAAAACAACTATTATCACCAAAAATCAAACCCAAAGAACTTCCCTATAGTGCTGATTTCTGAGTTTAATATGTCATAGGAGAGTAGCAATTATATGTGAAAAATGGCCTTACCTCTGATTTCGGCAGGAAAAGCAGTTTAAAAATTCCCTAGAGAGATCATTTAACTGCTTTGTAGTCAAATTAGTTACTGCCATATTTGGGTCATTGTGCCTCAGAGAAAGTCTAAGATAAATGTACCTGATTTAAGTTAGGCAATAAAATTTTAATTTTATTCCCAAATTTTAAATTAAGCCAAATATTTTAATTTATATTTGTATTTGTGTGAAGGGTGTTCTGAAATTTGCTTAAGCTGAGGGCAATACAAAACTCTCCCTGAGGCTACCTGAATCAAGGGAGAAGGACCAGGGAGGGAAAGAAGAAAAAAGAAAAAAGAGAAATGAATATATAAAAGAAAACCGCTGTGGTAAGAAAAATTGAGAAACACAGAGAAGAGAGAATATAGATATCAAGGGAATTAAAAGAAGACAGAAGCCCAAGATTATATTTCTGACATATAATTGAGCATTATTTAATAGTATATGTTTGAGATGCCAAAAGATAACTAAACCATAGCACCAACAAACTAGCACTGTCAAGGACTGCTATACAAAATATTTTTACTTCAATTTTTCCCTCTACTAAATTCTATTACACTGAACAAATTAATAAAAATGATAGCTTAATGCTAAACATAATCTAAAACACTAAATTATCAAATTGATAAACATTTACTAAATGCCTGTGCTAAGTAAGCACTAAAGACACAGTGATATATGAAACAAATTCTCTGCTTTAAAAAAAACAATCAGGCAAATTAACAAAATAGAGAATTTTATACCTAGACCAGCTTTTCATTAAAAAAAACTCACCTATGATTATACTTCTACTACTACTAATAATAAAAATGATAACATTTGTTAAATACTTCGGGTAACATGCTGGATTCTTCCAAATGCTTTTAATCCTGTAACAACGTTTTATTTCTGTTTTACAGATGAGGCAACTTAAGTCAAGATATTAAGTAACTTACCCAAATTTAAAACAGTCTATAAGTGGCAGGGTCTGGTTTTAAATAAAATATAAGTGACTCCAAAGGCCAAGCTCCTTCCTTCAGATACATGTTCTAGTGATGAAAATGTTTTCTAATGATTTAAGGGATAATACTTAGAGGAGTGAAAACTGGTGCAGAAGAATATTATTTACTGTGAGACTCAATGTTTCATGAGGTACTATAATACCTCTCAACTATAAAACTTAATTTTATTATGTGGAGTATTTATTTACAATGAGTACTCAATACACAGAATATGACTTCTAAGGGAAGGAATTTCAATACCAGTGTCATAAACTGAGCACCGTGTGAAAAAAAAAAGAATACTAGTATTGAAGGTATACTTGAGAATTCCTAAGAGTTTCATAAACAATATAGTATCAAATACATAATATATTATCAAATGATGACTAAAAGTAAATTTTAAAAATTTTACATGCAAAGCATTTATAAATATTGGTCAAATAAAATAATTTGAAGAATAAGTCACAGACCTAAATATATAAGACCTGAAACAATAAATTGCATAGAAGAAAACATAGGTAGTAAACTCATGGACTTTGGATTTAGAGAAGATTTTATGAATTTGACCTCAAATGCAAGGGAAGTAAAAGCAAAAATTAATGAATAGGACTGTATCAAACTAAAAGGCTTCTGCACAGCAAAAGAAACCATCAATAAGACAAAGAGGCAACCAACTGAATGGGAGAAGATATCTGCAAACAACTCCACTGATAAGGGGTTAAAATCCAAAATATACAAAGAACTCATACAATTCAACAACTAAAAAAACAATCCACTTAAAAAAATGGGCAAAAGACCTGAATAGATATTTCTCCAAAGAGGAAATACAAAGACGAATAGACATATGGAAAGATGGAATGGCTATCATCAACAGGACAAGTAATAACAAGTGTTGGAGAAGTTGCAGGGAAAAAGGAACTCTCATAAACTGCTGGTGGGAATGTAAATTGGTACAGCCACTATGAAAATCAGTATGGAGGTTCCTTAAAAAACTAGAATTACCATATGACCCAGCAATCCCTTTTCTGGGTATCTACACCCCAAAAATTGAAAGCATTTATCCATAAAGATTTATGCACCCCTATGTTCATAGCAGCATTATTCATGGTGGCCGAGACATGGAAACAATATAAGTGCCTTTGGTAGATGATTGGATAAAGAAGACGGAATATTACTTAGCAGTAAGAAAAGATAAATACTGACATTTGTGACAACATGGATGGATCTTGAGATAATCATGCTAAGCCACATAAGTCAGAAAAAGTTGAGAATCATATGATTTTACTCATATGTGGGATATAAAACTGAAAGCTACAAACAAGATAAACAAACAGACTCATGGACATGGACAACAGTTTAGTAGTTATCAGAGGGAAGCGGAGAGGGTGGAAGGAGGTAAAGGCAAAGGGGGTCGGAAGGAAATTTAACTTTGGGTGGTGAACATACAATGTAATACACATATGATGTATTATTGAATTATACACTAGAAACCTATATAATTTTATTAATTAATGTCACCCCAATAAATAAAAATAACTCATAAAATATTAGCAATGCTGTCAATTATAATAGTTTTATCTACTTTATAAAATGCATCATTAAGCAACTCTGTACTCAATTTAATTAACTCAAATAAATTATTCAGTAGACATTTCAATCTCTTTTCCTCTAAACATTTAAATATTTCAGAGGATTTTAAAAAATACTTTAAATTTCCCAAACTATCATTTTCAACTTACCAAATTATAGATTCCTAACAGAAGTGCTTCAATGCAACCATTACTCTGTCTGTCTCGGCTAACTGTAAGCCGTAAATAAACCCACATCAATTCTGGCAAGAACTGCAGTGTAAACCTCTTAAGTCGAACTTCAGAGCTCCGATAGAGCTCAAACAGCTGATGGCAGACAGGCTCCAGGAGCTAAAAGGAAATAAAGTGAATTACTTACGTCCATTCTTTTGGCTGTAACTATATATTTTTAAGGCATGTATACTTATACAGTATTTTCAAAGTAAACTCTCAACATTAATTTTTACATATTTTGAATGAATGCAGCCAAAAACTTAATCTCTATTTATGTACAGAGACTACATATAAACTGACCAACCTAACTATAAGAAATACTTTGCGCCCTTATAATATCAACATATCTTTTAATATACTGTATTACTAAATTGATTAGATAATTCGTTCTTTAACCAATGTACCACACATATATTTAGTGAGTTACTTTTTCTATTCTTAGAACCCTTACTATCCTCCATTTTAAAAAGTTTCTATTGGAAGAAAATAATTTCAAATAATCTTGTTGGAAATAAACTTTAAATATCAACTTAAGACTGTGATTTAAACAAATTATATACCATCAGTAGAGAAAGGGACTTTGCAATACATAATATTTGGACATCCAAAATGTTAGCTCATATTTAAAATTAATGATTGTAAAAAGTAAAAATGACTTAAATTCTATTAATTATATTTATTTGAAAGATTTTGAAGAGGAGGAAAGTATACAGAAACAGCTTTTCCAATGTTTAATTGGCCAATTCTGTATATAACACAACACGACTTATGAGGAACTTCATGACCTTGAAAACTGAAGAAGATAAACAGTTTAAATAAGTCTCCCCCTTTTCTCTAAACTTGTACTGTCAATTTAGAATGGTTTAGCTGGAATAACTGCAGACTACACAAAACTGTGATTTTAAAATGCAGACAAAACACTGACAGGAAACTATAAAAAAGTTTAAAATTTAATACTGCTTGAAAATGAAATATTTAGTAATTTATATGCTTATCTCTATTCTGAATGATTAAAATAATACATATACATTTGAAAATCTGTCTGAATGTAGTTATGTACATCTGTAATAATCTAACACTAGAAGAAAATCACTACTTTCACAGCTGTAGATTAAAAGTCAACAAATCCTATGTTGATTGCACAGTTAATATATTTAGATGAGTTAAGCTTAGCTCCTAAGGAACAACTCTAAAGCTAAAAAAAGTTATACACACATATCCTAATCTAGTAACTATCATAGTATTTGAAATCTTAAAAAAAAACATTGCAATTAGCGCCTCACACTGAAGTCTAGATCAGTGAGACAATTTGCCCAAGGTCATAGAAGTTAGTGGTGGAAGAAGACACTGGAATTTAGGTCTTCTGACACAAAGTTGATGTTCCCATTATAGCACATTTCTTATATTAGAATGAAAGTGGAGTAGGATGTGAGAGTTGTATAATTACAAATAGTATGTTTCACATAGTGCTAAATATGAAGTATTAAATTTTTAAAAATAGTTAATGGCTGGCATCTTTTAAAAGTACTGACAATAATATTCACCTCTTTTAGGGAATTAAAGATTACTGCTCCCATAAATTTACTTATTAAAAATATATATACAACTTTCAAATCTACTTTCCTTTTTTAGTAAAAGACTCTAAAATTACCTTCTCTAAATTTTATTGGTCCTGGAACAATTACAATTTGTTTATGTTATAAGGTCTTAACTTCCTTTCCCCAGTAGCAAGAAATACACTGGCATATAGGATACTATATTTTAATTAAGCATAACAAAGAGATACAGTTATGAAAATTATTACTCTAATTTTTTTTTTTAAGCCAAGAAGAGGAGTGGCTGGCAACCTAGTAACTTAATCAGATACTACTGCAAAATAAGATAGTTAAAAACTTGTCAGTGCTATCTGTTAAAATCTTTAATTCTAAGCATTTGTATCAGGCCATTATGTTCTCAATTTCCCAGTATCACAAATGACTCCGACCTATGTGGGATAAATGGGTTATCCTACATCAAAAGGTGTTAAAAATTATTATCCTCTGGTTAAAAAAAAAGCTTATGAATAATTGAAACCTTCCCCAAATGTAGCAAACAGTGCAAAATGATTAATTACTAAAAAAACATGATATCCAATGAACACAATGAGAGCAGTCTGGGTGGAATAATAGAGACTGAGGCCCAAATTGGGTTAAAGAAAGAATGTGAAGTGAGGAAAAGGGGTCAAGTAGACAGAGGCTACAAGTAAGCAATACTTTATGAGGTTCATCTGTGAAGAGGGGCAGAGAAATGGGGTAGGTAATAAAATATAAGGCAAATCAAAGAAGTTTTTTTTTTTTTGCTTTTGCTTTTGTTTTGTTTTGTGTGAGGCAACCCTTGGTTGACCTCACAGATTGCAAGGACCTTGTCAGCTTACAATCCCTTATTTTTCTGTTACGCCTATAGCACCTGGTCTTCCTAGGTGGTCTCCCATCCAAGTACTAACCAGGCCTGATCCTGTTTAGGTTCCGAGATAAAGAAGGTTTTTACAAAACAGAATATGGTTATTTACAGAATTCATCAGGGAAGGGAAAAAATCAATCAAGGAGGAAAGAGAGGGGATAATTGAAGGAGCAATCTTTGAGAGGGCCAGAGAAGATGAGATTCAGGTCTAAGTGGAAGAGATCACAACCTGGGATACTTCCTCCAATGAGTAACAGAAAAGGCATGAGAGTATGGGTAGAGATGCAGGCAGAGTGGTAAATGTGTATGGGAAAATAAGAGCATTCCCAACTATTTTCTCATGCTTTTTAATACAAAGAAAGCAAGGTGAGAATGAGGATTAAAAAAGGTAAGAGTATGAGGGGGGAAATGGTGTGAAATGAACAGTGAGACAGTATACTAAAGAAGTAAAGCAAGACTGCAAGGCAGTATATTACATGCCCATTTGACATTTTTAGTCTCGCATTTAAAATGGAGAAAGATGGAGGTCTCCCTGAGTGGAAGATGTGAAAGAACTGGTGACTAAGGGATCTGGAAGGAGGGAAAAAAGAAAAACAAAGCATTATGTTGGTTTATAGATTAAAACTTAAGCTATAGTCCAGGTTGGCCATATATGTAATATTAAACTTCTAGGAAATATACTTTCTTAAGAACTTTTATAGTCTTTAAAACAAAACTTTAAGAGTGTCATAAGTTTAAATTAATATTATATACGGCAAGTGACATTTTTAAGAAATAATTTCCTGTTAACTAAATAATACGCTTGATAACATTTCAGAACATGGCAAAATCAGGACTAAAAGGGCCTTTCTTCTAGGACTAAAGTCCAGAATTGCTTCGAGTTTCTATAGAGCTTAAAATTCTGTTATTCTTAAGTATGAACACATGGTTAGAATCTTATAACCCGATACGAGAAAGAATGGACAGACAGACCTGCTCTGACAAGTGGCTGATTGTAATGACTGTTGGGTCTTGATCTTGAATGTCTCAAGTTGTAATTTTTCCCTTTCTAGCCATGACAAGGTCTGACACGTTAATATTATGAAATATGATAATATAAAATAATGTGAATAACTTTAACGTCATAATTTCCAAAGTGTAAAAGAAAAAACGAAACCAATACTTTTTATACACTTGTGAGTCCCATTGAAAATGATGGCATTTTAGAATCTCATTTTGTGTTTCACTATCCTTCTAATCAAGATTTATTAAGTATTCATTATGTAATAATTTTATCATTATGATAAAATACTAGATTCTAGGAAGTAACAAATATAGAATATATGACCACTGCCCATGAAGAGCTTACAATCTAAAGAGAAAGCATAAAAAAATTTTTTAAAGCAAAGCTTAAATGTTAAGATAGTGCAAAATAAGGGGTGGGGAATACACACATTCATTATTCAAACAGAAATCTGAAAACTCCTGACCTAGGATATGCATACATGTACATTACCACACCTAAAGTTATAAACCATTCGTAAATACAAAGCAAGAAAAAAAGAAGCAAATGAATCCTGCAATTGCTGCTACAAATAGCAACAGATGCAAGTCTAACGGAGAGCCAATCCAAGTTTAAGAGATAGGAAAGAAAGAGGTCAATAAGCAAGCTTTTAGTGATAGGACAAAAATGAAGATGCACTTTAAGTTAAGCTGCTGGTTAGGAGATGATTACCTGAACTTCTTCAAACTCACTCCAGTACACAGCAGAGGCACTCTTGGAGGCTGTATCTGGGAAGATAAGAAGCTACTTTCCTGTGTGTTCCTTTCATTTTCATTTTAAAGCATACATGAATCCAGTGGTGATAAAACTATATGTCATACTATTGTGTTAATGAAAAGATAATGTGTGTATTTTGCATAAATTAACAAATAGATTCAATAGCTGCATTTTTCCCTTCCTCTATTAGAAAATTGAATAATGGGAAATTCTTACTCTAAGTTTATTAATCTTGACTATTTAGGCTAAAAAGTGCTTTCTCTGATCATTTTCAAGGTAAATTTACTAGCAATATCATTTCATGTTACCAGTTTGAGTTCACTGATTAGAGTGATCAATCAGACATAGTTCTATATTGTCAATAAAATAACTGCAAACAATATTTAAAATTAATAAATCTTCAGTATATGGTTAAAATTTGGCTTCCAGAAAAGGAAACATTCCAGAAGAGGAAACAGAGATAAATTTCAAATTAAATAAGTAATCTACTGAGGTGATAGTCACTCGAATGAAGAATCAAAACATGCTGTCCTCCACAGGAACAAATTTGATCAAAACATTTGAAAATATGGAGACAGAGGGCATGGGGAAAGCCAAAGCAACTATCGGAATGAAAAACAGCAGACAGAAAGTTTTCTAGTCCCTTAAAAAGGATTAAAATAAAAGAAAAAACGAGTAGGGAAAACTATAAAACTTAAATGTATGTGTTTTAGTACATACAGTTCATTTTACTATATTGAAATTATTTTTCTTATAAACTCTCCTACCTCATTATTTGAATCTTGAATAACTTTATAGAGGGCTGGTACCAGCGTTTTTTTCCGGTGTAAAGTTGCTGCATAATTGGTGATCTGAGTGTCAGGCAATGCCTAACAGAAACATCAAAAGAAAACAAAAGTAAACTTAATATTTGGGAATTCAGAAATTTTAGTTTACATGAGTTTCTCTTGAAAAGATTTAAAACAGAGTAACTAAAAAAAGGTAAAAATAATTAATACAAGAAATAGCCATAAGAGTTGATAAAAGAAATTAAGTTAGGATGTTATATTATACAATTCTAATTATTTAACCAAAAAAATGATTAGAGATCACACATTATACCAAGATTACTGAAAATGGGTCACCTTCAACTAATCTAGTCTAAAAAATAGTATAGGATATATTTCAATTCTTATATTTTATGTTTATAAGTTACTTCTATAGTGTTTGTAAATTATAGTTTTCAATCAAATCAAAGTATGATTGTAATTACAGGAAATAAAAATATAAGGTAAAAATCCCATCTCTATGCTATATTAAAACTTGGAGGCATCCCCTCTCTAACTGAATATATTTTAAAATCTACATATACCCTCATTAATCCTATTTTCATTTTTACAAATTATCTTCTAGACATTATTCACATTAGTGCCTTTTTAAGAGTTGTAATTATGGAAGCATGTTATTTCATATTTTGATATTTCCACTACATATCATAACATTTGTTATGGTTTTTCCATAGAACACATATTCACTGTTTAAATAACTGAGATATAGACTCATATGACACATTCGTATCCTCAATCTAATTTACCTTGAATTCTGATAACCATTCTTCCACAACACCACGTTCAGATCCCAACATCTTCTTCTTCTTTTGATTACTCTTTTTATCTCTGAAAGAAAAAAGCACTGCACTGAGGATAACATTACTACTTACAGAAGTTACCAAAGGTAAATGAGTGCCTTTCACTAAAGCAGCAGCTCATCTAGTATATATTTTAGATAAGAAGGCTTACTTTTAGACTAGAATCAATTAAAACTAAATTTTTTAAAGACAGAAGTTCTTTTTGTAATGATACTTTTGAAACCTATTTTCCTAATGCTTTGACACTTTTCCCAACAATTGTACTTCAAAGCGGCAAAAACAAGTTTACTGAATGAAATTAAACTGCACATTACTCAGGACAAATGTGCAGTCCATGCCTGGAACTTTTTCTACATATACAACTGGAATAAGTTACACATCACAGAAAAAACCATGTGACAGATCATAAATGAAAAACATAGAAAAGCTAAAAATCAAGAGTCATATACTCGGCAAACTGATTACAAATATATATATATATATAAAATACAAAATAAGGCCTTTGAAGATAGATTTTTGTTTTCTAAAATGGAAAAATGACCAAACAGAAAAAGCATGTTATACAATAGTATATAAACTATTATTCCTTTAAAAATTACATAAAATATTTTTTAAAAGGCTGGAAGCTTACATTCATTAAACTATTGAGCATTTGCCTCTGAAGGAAGAATTATTGAGGATATTCTAATTACGTAACTTTGAATTATAAAAAAACAAGTAAGAATATATTTTTTTAAATGGGAAAAACAATAAAAGGTTTTTGGTTTTTAATTTATGTCTCAAAAGGTAAGAACTACAAGAAATAAAGAATGTCTTGGATACAGAAGAAAATGTCTTCAAAGCAACTGAAATGAGTTTCTTTATTAAAAAGACCATATTTCCTAAGAGTGTGTCAAATTCCACACTAAAATTTCTACTTTAACAAAGGAAATCGAACTTTCTAGTTTCTCCCCACAATTCCAAAATGATTTTCAAATATCCCTATAAAATATTCCTATAAAATGTAATCTACTATGTAAGCAAGGAATACAAAAAGGAGTAAGACATGCCCATTATTTTCGAATAGTAAACGTTCTTTAGACTGAGATTTATTCAAATAAATTGCAAGACAGGAAAAAGAGATAGTGGGGAAACCTACAGATTAAAAGAAATGTAAAGGGAAAATCAATAACCAAAGTAGGAAGGTTATTTGGACTCTAAAGACTTAAAAAAAAGTATGACACAAATAGAAGAAGTTGAATATGACTGATTTTTTTAATGACATTAAATTAAGAATTATAGGTTATTTTAATATTTGACAATAGTACCATAGTTCTTTACAATAGTGTTTATCACTTAGAGATACATATTAAAATATTTATTAGTGAAATGATATCTGAGATTTGCTTTAAAATAACTGGAAGGCTTAGGGGAGAGCCAAAGGAAGAAAGTACATTGGGTATAGACTAAATACAAATGACCATGAGATAACAACCACTGAAGCTGAATAACTGGTTATTGATACACGAGATTCATTACAATGTTCTCTCTACTTTGTTAACAGGTTTGGAATGTTCCATAATGAATAGTAAGGAAAAAAAATTGACTAACCCTACATACAAATTATGATATATGAGATTTAAAGCAATAGTTCTTAATCTTTTTTTCTGGTGGTGGGGAGGAGGTAAAAGAGGAAAGTCACAGACCACCCACCCACCTCACTTTTGCTATCTAAACTATGGATTCCTAATTCAGAAAAAGATACATATGATGCACATATGTACACAATTCTCATGTTAAAAACTCTTGATGAAGAAATGAGACTCTTAAATAACTTCAAAAAATAAAACACAACTACACTTCCAAATGATAATGCCATTCAAAGAAGTAATTTTATAAGGATCCTACATTTATTACAATGACTGTCCAAATCATTGTCAGAATTCCTTTTTTTCATTCAAGTACAATTAATTAAGTGGCACTAAATATTCTTTAAAACCTAGTTCTTCACCTAAGAATGTATTCCACGATATAACTATTGATTAACTAAGATTATATCTTAGTCTATGCAACTTATATCTTGATATAAAATTTTAATTACAAAAAATAAAATAACAAGCGTAGATCCATTACACTGTAACTTCCAGTTTGAACAATTATCTGAATACCTTGAAGTAGTTGCCTCTGGAAGCTTCTCAGAATTCAAAGAAACAACTGACCAAAAAAAGGAGGGATTCAGTCAGAAATTCATTGATCCATTCCATAAGTATTTCTTTAATTAAGTTTATTGGGATAATATTGGTTCATACAACTACATAATTTTCAGGTATACATTAAATTTGACATGTCTATTCTATTGTGTTAACCACCCAAAGTCCAGTTTTCTTCAGCTGCTATATATTTGATCCCCTTTACCCACTTCACCCTCCTCCTAAACCCTATATTTGACTTCCTTTACCCAGTCTACCTCCCCTCCCCTCCCCTCCCCCACTTCCTACCCTCTGGTAACCGCTATAGTCCATGTCCATGAGTCTCTGTTTGTTCTGCTCATTTGCTGTTTTTAGGTTTATATCCCACGTATAAGTGATATCATGTGATTTTCAACTTTTCTGTCTGGCTTATTTCGCTTAGTATGATTATCTCGAGGTCCATCCATGTTGTCGCAAATGGCAGTATTTCATCTCTTCTTATGGCTGAGTAATA